TGAATTTCTACATAAAAGTAATGACAAAGCATTAAAACTTTGACAGTTACTAGATATTCATTAATAAAACTTACAAAATTTTATAAACTTTAATCCTCTATAATTATCATTTCTTCTAAATATTGGACATAGCTTTTTGTTACATGTCTTAAACTTGTAGCAGAGATCTTACGGCTCATACAACCTTAAGACCAGTAACTCAGAATCATGTAGATTATATTACAATCATTTATAAACTGTCCCTTCTCCGGCCCACTATTTCATCCCTTTCACTTATTCATCCAGAATCGGAGAGAATACATTCTCCCGTCTATAAGCTTGTATCAGATATAGAAATAGTCTACTTAGTGGAACTTAGAATTTCTGCAGTCATTCCATTCCTTGCTCTTGCGCAGTCCAACAACAGACGTGGGAGAATAGACCAAGCTTTCGAATGGGAGACTTGAAACACCAGGCGGTTAAGAGAAAAGAAATTAATGAATTGTCTCACCCCGAGCTTTCCATTTACCGCGTGAAATCAGCATCCGTACGTACGTACGTACGTACTTACAGTCGCTATTTAGCACGCACACATGGAACGCTGCTGCGGTCCTGAACACATGCATACTGACTTTACACGGAGGGTGGAAGAGGGGGAGAGGTCGTCGTTGTACGCGTCTGGCAACAGTCTCCGTATGGAAACGACTCCCCGGAGGGTAGCTATATTAAAATTCCTGAAACTTTTTAATCTTTCCAGCGCAGTTAAGTATTAATAATGAAATCTTGCGCAGGAGTGAAGCAGAATGTTTTCCTCGGTATGGCACCGCACCGAAGGGACACGATCGGGTTCACCGATGCTCGTTATTTTTTTCGACCTCTGAAACTGCATCGATACGTGTTCGTTTCTTGGTTACAACCATAAAGTAACAGAGAGTACAAACTCCATGGCTGGTATTCACAGTCGTTGCTTATTCTTAAGATTGTCTTAAGATTGTCTTAAGATAGTCTTAAACATTTGCTATCCCAGTCTATCCCATATTTCCAGTCCTTGTCTTGTACAGGAAACAAGTCGATCTTAAATATAAGTAACGACTCTGAATACCGACCCATGTATTAACATTTGAGACAAATTTTCACTCTCGAGTTGTATTCGTTTTCCTGTGTTCCCGAACCTTCTGCTTTTCTTGGTTTCCATGACTCATTGAGTCAACGACTTACGTTAGCCTTACGTCATTAACGTCGAAGCTAAAATGTTTGACTTTGTTATAGCTATTATTTATTATTTATTATAGCTAAAAGATTAGACTTTATTATATAGGTGGTGTTGGCTAAACATAACAACATTAGAACATAAAGGGAAACCAGGCGAACGTAACAGAGGCCAACGCCTTCCGACGCTATTAGTGTTGAGTATTAAGTCAGAATACGCGACGGGAGATGGGACACGCGGTAGGAAGGAGACGAGACGGCGACAGGGAAAAATGATATTCGAGAAGCTTGGTATTATTTATCCGCCGTCGGTGGTGGTGGTAGCAAAAGGGGAAGGGTGGTTAAGAGCGAAAAGCGAGAGAGAGTAGATAGAAGGGGGAAGCTCGGCTTACTTTAGCCGCCATTTAAACCCCCAAAAGCGAGCTTTGGTTCTCTGGCTGAGATCAAGCTACGATATTAATGACTAAACGCCGTAGGGGTTCGGCCAAGATGCACCAAGTGTGGAGAAAACATTTTAACGTCACAGTTTGATGCTCTAAGACATGTCAATTGAATATAATAACGTTGAAGCAATATTTTAATAATCAGTAAATTGTTGATCTTAATTATAAATAAAATATCTACATAAACAATTGTTTTAAACGTTCAAAAATATCCATCCAGCTTTTCATTTCGCTATAAACGGCATTTATTATTTCTGTATATTCAATTTCCTTATCGCTGCATAAAACTAAGCAGTGTAATTATAGTCGCTTATTGACGAGGTTGTAACAGGCGTGACACGAGCGTGACGACACGCCATTCGAACAGCGAGCATAAAACAAGGAAAAACGTCTGAACGTTCGTCCCTTCGTTTCCGTTACTTTATTCCCCTCGCAAAACTTCCTTCCCCTAATTTACAATCCTGTCCACCGCGGCTCACGATTCCTCGTTATCATCCATTTTCCAGTCACGTTCGCGCGCTTATTTGCTCGCGTCTGTTCCACGACGCGGGCGGCTCGGCGCTCGCGTATGTACCCTTTTAACGTGACGTACGTAAACAAGCGCTCGCGGGCAAAATCTGAGGAAACCTCGCGCTCTACTAAAAACTTGGATGTCATTGTCTGGGTATACGATGTCACCGTGGCCCAAGTTTTTCCCGTCGCCCAAGTGCGACTGTGACGTTTGAAAAATAGAAGCTTCGGAGATACATCCTGGGCGTTAATGTAGATCACAACTGCGTGGACTTGGTTGCATGACGGAGAATTCTTAAAATTCATTAGAGACTTTTTGCCAAGAATCTCGAGGAAGAGAAGAACAGAAGAGGAACTACAACCGGGGACTTAAAATTAAGCACATTTTGTGTCTCTGTTTTCTATATTGAAGACATCCGCTTATGGACACTTTTTCTTGCTGAGAATGTTGAAACGGAGGCGATTCCAGAATAGATTTGTTATTGCGAATTAAACTCGTTGAGATTTGGAAAGTTATTAAACTGCGGTTAAATCGTGTAATTTATTTTTATATTACGCATTGTAATTATTAATAATCGCAAGTTGGACGTGACCTAAATAAATTAAAAAAAGAAGGCGTACGTTTTCCTCATTGCTGAGTTCTCTAAATTCTAAATTATCGATCTAAGAAATTTGATGGAACCGTTGGGAACGTTTCGGGCATGCAATTAATCTGAAGTGTTTGCCACACACCGAGCGCGGTAAGAAAAGCGTTTCCGGCCGATCAAGAAAGGGTGCAACGGGACGCCGGGTGAAAAAGGAAGCCGAGGTGGAAGGTGCACAGAAAGAGGGCAAGGGTGGTAGGGTGGCTGACAGCGAGGGCGGGGGAGGACAGGGTGCCGCGTCGGGTGGGGCGGCACACGGCGACGCGGGAAAACAAAATAAAAGAGGGAAAACCGCTGGCAATTTTTCACTAGCTTTTTAAAGCGCGGCTTAGGTACTCGTGGAGAGAGTTTGAATCGATTTTGCCGGAGGGCCCCATTTTTCTCTCCCGTCTTCTTCTCGTCTCTCCCAACCGAACCGAGCTCTACCTACGTACTTTCCTCCACCTGTTTCGACTACGGCGAACCACGCGCCCTGAAACGCGGGATGTCAACCGAACTTCCGGATTTGCACGCCGAACGTACGTACACGATCTTCGAACTTACTGGCTGGATTTTGTCTGTCAAACGAACGTTCTCTCACGGATCGGGGATTAAGAGTGCGGGAAAGTGTCACGGTTTAAACAGGCACCGACGCAGTATAGACGTATTGGGCGGCCCAGCTAAAATATCTTCTTCATTCGTCACTATTGGAAAAATACTTTTCACGGTATTCAATTTTTGCTCAAAGTCTTTCAACGTCACGTGTTCAATGTTACAATTCAATGTTACATCTCAATGTTACAATTCGTTGTTACATTTCATGGATATATTTTACATATGTATATATTATCTTAGTTTTATACTCAATTTTTTTGGGAGACTTTTAAGTGCGAATGTCTGGGTACCTTTTTTTCCACAATGTAAATCTGATCAATACAGTGATTTCAATGCTAAAGCATCAGCGAAGTTAATGTAATTTAGGACTCGAACGGGAAATCCCATATCGCAGACGAAACACATTTCTCATCGCGATAATAAAATACACATACTGGCAAATATGATTTCGCAAATGAAAGCGCGAATGAATATTTAAACAGTGGCGTGTGCGTAGACGAGTAAAGAGGAAAAGGAATACCTCACGTTGCGATGATAAATTAAAAATATACGCGACATCGACGCCTCTGCGAATCCGGCCGACGGTTTTAAATGTATGTACGCACGTCCCACTATTTTGTTTTCATTCCTCTCTTTTTTCCGTATTTCCCTTCTTGTTACTGTTATAAAACATCGAGTGACGTTCGGATCAATTATTATTCGAATCGTATTCATTAAATGCGTACACACGAAGAGCCACTTCCATTAAATATCAGCGTTGTTTAACTCGTGAATTTCACTGTTAGCTTCCCTAATAGTCTAATATTTTATGGGTCCAATGAAACTCGTTCATTTCATGAATTGCATATCATTCGTTTAGTTGTTAATTATTCCACTTCAGGCAGAATTATTACTCGTTTTATAAAAAATGGGAAATCATAATTGAATCAATTAATAGTATCGAGATTAATTGAACTAATTGTATCAAATTTCAATCAATTGATTTTCAAAACTGCTATAAATAATTACAATTATTATGATTAATTAGTATTGAATAATATAATTAAATAATTTTCAGTTGTTTAATAAATCGGAAATCATAGTTGATGCAATTAGTAGTTCGCCAATCACTTACTTTCCAAATCTTTTTAAAATAATAATATGTGCTAACAAGATTCTTATAACACTCGAGTCAATTCCTAATTCATTTAGAATAATTGACAAAAGAAACAGGGAATTCTACTTGCAGCATAAAATAAAATAGTTCATAGTGGAAAATTAATTGTTATTATAAATTTTATATAGTTTTCATATTTTAAAATGAATTTAAATCCGCTGTTAAGTGAATAACTCCAATAAATATTCTAATCAGATTACGTTTAACGTTGTGTAATTTTATGTAACTCTGTGTAACTATACGTAACGATCCAAGACATCCGAATACATCCACGCATACAGAGAACATTAATGAAAGACAATGGGAGATTGCGGGCGATATGAAAGGTTCCCTAACCGCGGCACGGTTAGTTAACGTTTGCATGCATGGGAGATCACCGTTTTCGCGTAGTAAGTACATTATCACTGTTATGCCGCGAGGAGGAACGGCAGATCGTCTTTAATAAGCGAGATTAAGAGGACTTACGAGATTTCCCCGAAAGGAGCGAAGGCTTCCCTCAACGTCTGCGTCTCGATCTCCGGGCTCAAATCCCCTACGAATATGTGGTAGTGTTCTGAAAAAAGATCAAGGGAAAAAACGTTAGAAACTGTTTCATTTGAAATATACTAAGAATATAATAAGTGTGTTAGTATCATAATATAGAAAGTATGATAATATTATGATATAATAAGTATGATTGTATTATTGTTTAATAAGTATAATAGAAAATATAATTATGTGAGGGTTGATTGCATTAAGATTGCACGAGCCTTTAAATAAGAATAATGATAATGCCTTCGAATTTTGACAGTTGTTAAGTAGGAAAAGAATAAATGAAAATGTAATTCAATATGAAATCACAGGGTTAATAATTTCTATTTAATCTTGTATATTCTGATTTTACTGTATAATATTTGTACATTACAATTTGTAATGTTTAGGTCTGTTTCATTTCTTTGGCTTTGTTTATGTAAATAATTATATTTGTATAAACCATTTATTATTGCAATGATGAACAGACAGCCAAAAACACAATGTCTAATATTATAAACCCTATTATACTAATATTATAAATTCTAGTTCACTCTGTACATTATAAATTGAATTTTACTACATATTATAAAATGTACTTTACTTTAGACATTTTGCAATATCATAATTTCTATTATACATTAATATTATAAATTATATTTCACTAAACGTTGTGAATTGAATTTTACTTCCAACATTTTCTATTTATTTATATATTACTGCAAATGGTGTCTCTTTAATTTAAATTATTAAAATTTCCCATGAGTGGATAAACGTCCACAATCCATTAATTCCTAATCCAGTCTGTATCAATCTAAATAAAAATAATTCAAATAACAATTTGCCTGTACACATATCAAACTATTAAAGAGCAATTAAACTGAAATCGGATTCCGCTCTTCCGAAAATTCAATCCTATCCGAATAATGTAATGACCTAATTAGAGTAGATAATCCAAAAGTTTTACTGAAATTATATAATAATAATAATAATAGTAATAATAATAATAATAATTCGTCTGATCGATCAACCGACGCGCCTTCGGGTTCATTTTCGACGCAGGGAAAATTGCAGATAATTCGTGGTTCGACGAGAACCGCAACCAGCCGGTAGTACGCGATAGAGTCTGGAATTAATTCGGGTCGGTAATAGCCGTGGCATCCGGTGAGTAATTTTAAATTAGGGAATCAGAAGCAAACTCATTGTTTGTTTAGCATCGGCCGAAATATGCGACGCAGTCATTTGCGCTTATAGAGTCGCTGGAAACCAGCAGCAGCAGCAGCAGCAGCAGCAGCAGCAGCCACCATGGACGCGAGGGTAAGCACGCTTTCAGTGTTTCTATTAAAATTGGAAGAGTCGTTTAGCCTGACTAGCATCTCCAACCCAGACACATTAGATAATATCTTGTGTATGTATTTTAATAATAAGCCTGGATTTGTCCTTGTTGTTCTTTGTTACGCGAACAGCCTAAAGGAGAAACTCAACCTAAACCTGATCATACTAAAGCATCATCGCACTAAATTTTCACCAGGCGAATTCAATTGGAACCAAAACCGTCAACGCCTGCGAAGATTCTGGCTGTGTAAAAATAGCTAGGAAAATATCTTTCCATCAAAGGTTTAAGGGCCTGGTTTACCTTTCGGGGTAGCAGAGTTTGTTAAGCAAACCGCGAGTACCAAGGATAATATTTAGAGCAGGGGCCAAAAGTCATCTTTGCAAAGTCGACATTTTTGAATAATTTAATGTTCCAAATACGTTTGAATTCGAAAGACCATTTTAAATAAATTCGATTAAACCGATTATTCTATTATCGAATTAAGGAAGAGATTTCAGGAAATAGTGAAATCAAGCGTTGTAATCGAGATAAGTCGATTACTTGAAAATTATTCGAAAGGAAGGTTGTATCTCAATATATTCGGCTTATAAGCAACGTTAACAACTAGAAATCGGGTTGATGCGAAATAGGAATAGGTTGACAATCTGCTTGAACCAATTAAATAGATAGAGGGTCTCGTAAACGTTGCATACGTGGGATACATATGCATGGCAAATGCAATAACGTGACTCCAATAGCCTTATTTCATAACTTATTCACGCTTTCCATTGGCGGTATCCTACGATCGTAACGATCAATGCGATAATAATCACGTTTATACCTGGCGTACGTTCGTATTGCTGCCGTAGCGAAACGTCGATGACAATAATAAACCTGTCCCACTATTTCGCCCTCGAACGAGGATCATCGTTCTGTCGATAGAACAGCGAAAACTGCGTGCAGCGATAATACATGTGTCTTGAGGTAAGCCAATATCTCTTGTAAACCAGGTAGTTTTTTAAATAATATATAAATATATTGAGGCAAGACTTAATTAAGGGAACGAGATATAAGATATTGTGGTGTAGTGTAGATTTTTAGTCTATTTTATATGATTTCTACCAGTTTTTCATGTGGGAGCAAGAGAAATGGGCGTACGAAAGTTAAGGTAAAATATAAGGAACTCACTTTACTAAATGAACACAGAAGTCTTTCATAAATGAAATTGAAAAAATGAAATCAACCTAAACGTTATAAATCATAATGTATCAATTGTATTTTAATTTGGATATTTCGTATTATTATAAATTCTATTATACTAATATTATAAATTGAATTCTATTAAATTTTATAAATAAAATTTTACTAATATTAAAAATTGTTCGAACGATCTCGTTCAATGTATTATCACATTTACATGAGGAGCCTAGAACGTCAAGGTGGCAACAAAATAGTTAGCTATTTATTTGCCATACAAGTTGAAAAATTGAGTCACGTCTTCCACTTCAATGGAAAGAAAAACATTTCAATGGTTTCAGACAGTTCAACTTGAGAAGTCTTACATTTAAAATGAAATTCGAATAAAAGTCCTTTAACATCAAGCGATGATCGTTTCTGAGAACATGTTAAATACGAAAAATGTTTTTCACCGGCCACATCAGAATTTTAATCTCGCCAGACAGCAAAGTGCTTCGACGATTCATTTTTAATTTAACCATCACAAAACACAGTGCCACTCTTCCCGTTCGCCGGTTTTTGCATCGTGATAAAAACAGTGAAGCCGCTTTTCCCCGACGCAATTTTAAACAGGCTGCTAGCCGCTCCAGAGGAAGCAAGACGTTCCATCATTAACTAGGCGAGATTTTCAAATCTTAGTGATACAAATAATTCAAGAAATAAAAGGGCTTTTAACTTCCATTTAATCTTCTGTGTTTTCATTTCAGACTTGAAACAAATAATCGATTTGAGAAAGAAAGCAGCGTGTCAAACAATCGACACGTTATCAACAATTATTGTTGGATCCCAGTGTCGATTCTGACGTCAGTAAATTCGTACCGTTGAAACGAGACCATCGGGGAAAATAAACTTTTGTCAATTTCCTGCTGGTTTCCTAATAGACCGAAGATCCGGGCGCGACGCTACGGTGTCGGACAGCTGCGGAGGGGAAGATGACGAGGCTCGGACTAATTCGCAGGAATGGGCCACTGTGTGTGCCCATCGGAACCTCCGGCCGACGAGGGTAGACCATCAAACCGATTGTAATCAGACCACCCTCCGTTTTCAACGCGCCCCTGCCACCCTCTGTTCCTCCTATACTTTCTGCCGAAATACCTAGCGCTGGGAGCTTCGAAAACCTCCCACACATATACGTAGCTGTAACTCGATTTTCGGCTACTCATCTTGACCTACTCGTTCGGGTTCAGATAAACCGGAGAGGCGATGAAATGATTGAAAGATACCAGGGAACAGAAGGAACAGAGGGCAAGAAAATTGGCGAGGCGATGATTGGTTCACAGGACACTACTGTAATCGATAGAGGAAAAATTATACAAGTCAATTTAAAAGAATATTGATGACCTTCATATTTCTTCTATGCATTCACCTAGTTGTTTTTCTTCTAATTTCGACATTTAACGAGTTACGTATGATTATTTGGCATTTTATTGATGTTGACAAAATCCGACCATCCCAGCGTCGAAACGGCGAACTTTTGGCAAAAAATTTCATTTTTCCTTAATTATTCCTAAACCGTTGAATCTACGGGAAAATTGTATACAACCTTTCTTGTAGAGGACGGCGAGATCTACAATTTCTGTATAAAAGTTTTTTGCTAGCATTAATATTTAACGAGTTATTTGCAAAAAACGAAAAAACAGTTCTTTGCATATTACTCGTAAACTATCGAAGNTTTATTATTAGCAATGTTCTTCCGACGTCTGATTTCTTTTTAAAAAATGCGTTTCTAAAGTGCATAAACTTTTGGGATTGACTGTATAGCCAATACATCCCTAAATGGAATATTTTTGTTTGGACTATCTTAAACTCATTTTAATATGCTTGTTTTCTTTCTGTACTTTCATATCAAAACAAGAACATTGCATTTAAAAAGCATGATGTGATCTTCAAATAACCGTGAGAAAGATAAAACAGATTCTACATAGAAAATTGATGAATCACGTGTCATTCAGCAGTTATATCGATTGACACTCACTATGGGACAATTTGATATTATCATTCTTTGCTATGTATAATAGTGACGAGGAGAATATCTCGTGAACTACCAGTAGATGTGGCTGTAACTCGATTTTCGACTACTCGTCTCGACCTACTCGTAATACCCCGTGTGAGGTGATGAAATCAGCGAATGATACCAAGGAACAGAAGGAACCAGAAGGCAAGGAAATTGGCGAGACGAGGAGTGTTTATATACACCAGGATCGATCCTCCGTTTTACGATCTCCATCCCGTCCGAGAAAAGAGCCCGCCACCCCTATCATGCATGCAGATCGATAGCCAATTTAAAGGTCCTCCCTTCGCTCGGATCCTTTTCCTACGAAACAACCGGATCGAATCGGTCTAACCAACCGGATGATCGAGTCGGCTTTTGATCGAATTGAAATTCGGGCAAAGTTCAAGTTTGTCCAGCGACGACCATGAAAGGTTCCCCGGACGCACCGGCGGCAGTTGGTCGGTCGAAAAAAAGATGCAAATAGGGTCAACAAACCGGG